TTCAGATTTTCTAGTTTGATAGGTGGCAGTACCATCGCAACATAAATTGCTATCTGAAAGACAATGAGATGGCATTGTTTGATAGGTTCTGGCAGAGATCATAGGCTGATGTAGTCACTATGAAATTCCTTCAGATTTCAGTATACAAGATGAGACCTAAAAGCCCTTATCTTGACAAAATTTGCCAATAGGTTGGTCAAATAGGAATTAGTGAAGCCATGCTCATTATCCTGTATCACGTCACTGTCTGACAAGTGCTGTAGCATAACTTCCAGGAGGATTTGCTCTATGATCTTTCCCAGCACAGAGGTGAGACTGATAAGTCAGTAGTTCACAGGGTCATCCTTTTTACCCTTCTTAAAAATGAGTGCGATGATGCATTTTATTCCAGTCACCAGAGACTCCACCTGATTGCCATGACTTTTCAAATATCACTTAGAGTGGTTTGGTGACTACACCAACCAGTTCCCTCAGGACTCTGGAATGCATCTCATTGGGATCCATAGACTTGTGGATGATCAGGTTCCTCAAGTGGTCATGAACCTGATCTTCACTCACAGCGGAAGGGACATTGCTTTCTTAATCACCTCCTTCTGAACCCCTTGTTTGCAGGCTGTGTGATGAGCAGTTACCAGGGAAGACCAAGGCAAAAAAGTTGTTGAGTACCTCAGCCTTCTTTTTCTTGTTACCAGCTTGCCCATGTCGCTCAATGGGGATGCACCCTCTTGGACTTTTGTTTTCTGGTTGAGGTAACTGTACAAGGCTTTCTTGTTCTTCTTGGCACCCCTTGCCAAGTTTAGTTCAAGCTGGGCCTTAGCTTTCTTGACTCCATCCCTACAAGCCTAGCAGCTTACTTATATTCTTCCCGCAATACCTGTCTCTGTTTCCACTGCCTGCACATTTTCTTCTTGCTTTCCAAGAGCAAGATATCAGTCCAAAATATCAAATGCTTTTCAACAGAGTTCAGATTTTACCATTCTAGAATGTCATTCAGCAAAATATGTTTGCTGCGCGTCTACGGTTTTTTAGCAGTGTCTCCATGTAGTACTTAATGTCACTGTTATATGAAAAACATGCAGGAAGAATAGTCTGTTAGAAGACTAAGTACCTATGTACTGAACAGATGAAATTATTGTTTGGTCACCTTTAAAAACATATGCATGTTTCACTTAAATGCTAAGTATTTTTATTTAGTAATTCAATTTCTCACATTCTGTCTTGAATATGTATAGTTGTGCTTTTTTAAGCAGAATTTGTGACAGTTACTTTTATAAGTTTCAACTCTGTTTCATCTGTCACCTTATTCAGATGAAAAATACTGGAAATACTGTGGAGTTTTTTAAATCAGAAGGATTGAATTCTGTGCCTTGCAAGACAGAGTGCAAGCTCTGTTTTGGTAGATTTGGGTGCAGTTTCTTTTTTCTTTCTCCTTAATATATATTTTTAACAAAAGGAGTGGGCTTCTTCAGTTGTCTCTTAAGCAAAAAAGAGGCCAAAAGATGTGCCTTTGCCACATGGTATAATGGCATTAGAGACAACAAATTGAAGTATTGTTAATTCTTATGAGATCTGTTAAATTCTTAAATTAAAGTGTTGAAGTCAGCACTCTTATTTGATTGTTCTGTCCATTTTATCGCTGAACTGAAGAGGCACTGGTGAAGATTCACAAGAGACCTATTACGGTTTACCTTTGCCTTTTTCATTTCCCATTCACCCCATGAAACTGCTGAGCTTTTTTTCAAACCCGTTGTGCTCTGTCTTCTCTTCCACCATGGTGCACACACAGGTCACCTTGCTGAGTCTTTTGATAGCAGAGGTTCATAATCATCCACCTTCTGAAAAGGTTTTTGGTAGCTGGCTGATCCTTCTCTGAATACAGTAATAGAGTACAATAATAGATCTAAGCAATGTAGTGATAGAATACATGAGTACACACTATTTTCTGTGTTTTTTTTCCTAGTTTTTACAAAGCTGTAACCAGAAGTAACAGAGCTATTTTGATGAATGGATCTCTTCACATGTGTTTTGTATTAAAGCTGTATAGTTTTTCCCAAGAGATCTATGAAGTGTTATTGACACTTTAAATAAGTACTACTTATTGAAAGCTTTATCAAATCTAAAGTAAATTTAGGATCATTCATTTAAATAGTGATTTGCCCTACTAATGTAGGAACTAAATGAGGTGTATAATCCATACCTTAGATAATTTTGCTAAAACAGAGCTTACTTGGAGATGGGAACAGTGGTAAATGGTAGTTTCATTTCTTTTTTTTTTTTTTTTTTTTCCATTACTGCACTTTTGTGAGAACATGCAGAACAGTTCTGTGTGTTCTCTGATAGAATATTCTGCTATTCAGAAGGATTATAAGGAAACTGGGGAAGAGGACAGAAATGGTGTTAAATATCATTTCAGCAGCCTCTCTAATCAGGCAGTAAGCAACAGAAATTGAGTGGTTGGATATGGTGGATGCTTACACACTAAATTACTAGGGTACTAGTTATGTCACAAGTTTCAAAAAGAAACAGAAGAAATGGATTCTACAGCTTTTAATTCCTTCTGCATGAAGCAGTCATAAATTCTAGTTTGAGAAATCATTACACTGCCTACCCTTTACAGTGTGGGTCAGCTTCTTTGTGGTTTTGTTTGGTGAGACCTCTCATCACACTCGACGTACATACTAAGGGGCACACTGGGATGCTTTTTAGTCACGTACTTTAAAGGAAAATATTCAGTGGTTCAGAAATAAACGATGATACAGTTCTGAATTCTTATCACAGCTGAGGTCTTAGTTGCAATAGGGAATAAATCAGATTCCTGTGATGTCTGGTTGGTCTGGAGTTCCATTTATTATTCTCACATCCTCTGGCACCAATTTGGGTGATGTAGGTTGATAATGGGTTATTCCTTCCCATTGCCTGGCTCATAATCGCATGGCTTCATTCAGCAATATATGAGATCAGTACTTCACAAAATATGCAATCCCAAAAAGTGCTTTACAAAAAAAATGCATGTTTTATTAAAATGGATAATGTGAGACATTTCATCTGCACTCCATTAAATATTCATCTATCTGTATGTTGAGCTGTTCTGTTACCAATTCACATTTTCTGTATGAGTGTTTATTGAGTTGACCTTTTGCCACATTTTACAAGAGAACAGAACGTTACAGCCTTTTTCAGAGTTGAGAGTGCTGGAACACAGTCATTAATAAAAAATGTTGCTAAAACTTAAGATTCTTTACATTCTGTACATCACATTATCCAAAGCTTTACTACTTGAACAAAACTTTTTTTTTTTTTACTTTTTACTTAGAAATCCTGCATAGCAATCCATAGCAATATATGCATATTCACATGTCAGTGGTAAATTAAATCTACTTTCTCCAGAAGAAAAGTACCAAAATAGCTGGATTTGGGCATTGCTTATTAGCAGGATGGCGGAATTAGAATTTGGTCAACAGTAAGTGTGGCAATGAAAGTAACAAGCCCGGGGTCAAGTTTGCTTCCATAGATTTACCATGCAGATTCACAGCTTATGTCTGCCAAGCAATTTTACTGTGGTTTTCTGGCTCAGAATTTATACTTTCCTTTGTTTTCCCACAACAAACACACACACGTGCACACTGTCCCTTCACTTGTGTCATGCTAAGTCAAAGTTGAGATAAATATGTAAAACAGTTCACATTCTTTGTTACTTCTTCAATAACCTTTTTAATGTTTCCAGAAAGAAAGGCAGTTTTGTTTTCTTAATCTCTGTTCCACATATGATGATGCATGCAACTTGTGTGTACTTCCTTAAGGGAACACAGCAGGCATGGAAGCCACTGGGAATAGTTAGCTGTGGAAAAAGAGAATTTATGTAGATGTAATTGGCGTACTCTGAAGGTCATAATTAGTGAAAGAGGTTTGTGATGAAAATTTTGTCAACCTTTCAAAAAATGTCTAGAGGCAGTTACTCACTGTACATAGCATTTACCTCTTTGACATATAAGCCTGTTAAGAACAGGTGCAAAAATCTTTTTAAAAGCTCCTGAGTCCTATTTGTGAGGAAAGATGAGGCAAGGGGTGAGTTGAGAAGGAAATCCCCTTAGAATATGTCTAAAGTAAGCAAATGTATTACATTAAAATATTACAATGGTAGCATGCAATTTTGCAAGGCTTTTTCCCCCAATTATACTTGCTCCTATTTTGTTGTTGTTGATTTTTGTTGTTGTTGTTAGTAGCAGTTTATGATCATGTTCAACGTTATTCTCTGTGTAAAGGAGTTATGCAGTTATCTGAAAAATAAGGTACTGGGATTCCCTTAAGTTCCTAAAACTGAAGTCAGCCAGGATGCTTGTAACCTCCAAGATTACTGTCTTTGGTAAATAGAATAATAAATATTAAAGCAAACTAATATTAAAATAAAGACATTTCTATTATGACAAGTGTATAAGGCTTTTACATGCCTGCATATTATGACTTTTTAGCCTAATTCTTTTAAGACCTACAACTCCACCTTCGTTCTTTTGCATTAATTGTAAGATATGTGTAATAATTGATGTTTGCAGCGATAGTAGTTGTAGTTTCAGTTGTAGCTGAAACTTAAGTTCCATTTTTTCAGTCCTTTATTTTACTTGGTTTATTAAATTCTGTACTAAGCATTTTACTTCCATGTATATCTTGTTCTTGAAAATTTGAATGAGGTACACTCTTTTCTTGCCTTCTTACTAGTGGTTATATAAGTGTTTACACTCTTAAAACATGTATCATTTTAAATGTATTTAAATAAAAATGAATATGTAAATATATACATTTATATAATATTTAAAACATAACATTGCATGTTAAAGCTAGGAAAAAAGTTGTTATTTTCTCTTCTCTCATCAGGAACAGAAAATAATATGAAGGAAAATAGACTTTGTGTCATGTATACTTGTAAGAAATACCTTTGTGATGGAGGCAAATTGTGTGCTGCTTATTATAGCAAACACATTTAATGAAGTTAATTATGATTCTAGGTTCCATGGTTCCTTTCTCGATGCGGATTTTACATGCTGAACTTCCTCAGTACCTCGGTAATCCTCAGGAATCACTTGATAGACTGCACAGTATGAAGATAATCTGCACCAAGGTAACAGATTCTCTGTGCACTGGCCTTTCTTGATATTTAGGAAGTATATTTCCTTGTCCTTGCAAAGAACATTGTTTCAACTCTGACATTTTTGAATGCATCTTGATACAAATAAGGAACTCAATAATAGAAGTAATTAAGTCTCTTCTATTTTACGATACAGCATCGTTCTCTCCTTTGCTTGATAGAACAATGGAAAGTGGAGTTCTCTTGCTTTCTTTCTTTTGCCAGACATGACACAAAGAACAGTATGCAGATATGTTCAAGGACAAGTAGGAGAGTTTATTCCTTCACTTAGCAGCATCTAGCTAGCTCAAAACAGTTGTTAATCATAAAATTATGAGATGTTTTGGGTTGGAACGGATCTTAAAGAACATCTAGTTCCAAACCCCTGCTGTGGGGAAAGCTGGCAACTACAAGATCAGGCTGCCATGGGGCCCCATCCAACCTGGCCTTCATGGATGGGGCATCCACAGCTTCTCTGGGCAACCAGTTCCAGTGCCTCACCACTCTTTGCAGTAAAGAATTTCTTCCTTATGTCTACGGCTACCTTTTTTTTAGTTTAAAACTGTTACTCCTTGTGCCATTACTACACTCTTGTGTGCCACTACACATAAAGAGTCTTCCTAGTTTTCATGTAGACATCTTTATGGCCGCTATAAGGTCTCCCTGGAGCCTTCTCCTCTCCAGACTGAAAAAGCCCATCTCCCTCAGCCTTTCTTCATAGGAGAAGTGCACGAGCACTCTGATCATATTTACAGCCCTCCTCTGGACCTGCTCCAGCAGCTCCATGTCTTTTTTGTTCTAGGCATCCTAGATAGTACTCCAAGTTGGGGATCACAAGAATGAAGTGCAGGAATGATCAAAATCTCAGCTCCATTCTTCAGAAATAAACTGGATAGCTGATTTTGGAGACGGTTGTCATTTGGGAGTATAAGTCAAACTGCTGAGCTTGGTTTTGGGATTGTTTTTTTTTGTTTTAAAAGACTACTATAGAAATCAGAGTGTGAAAAAGGACAGTTTATAAATAAAAATAGATTTTTATAAAATAATTGGTGATTATTTAACCATTCCAAATCATGTAGGGTTATCTGGAAAACCCATTGTTTAGATATATGCTTTGTTGTTTTGTTGTTTTTTTTTTATATATAAAATGCTATTTGTCTAATAAACGAGATCTCACCAGGAATGTTCAAGAATAAAGCACAAGAATAAAGCTCACGAAAACCCATGGCATAACCAAGAAAATAATATAAAGAATGTACACATTAATCTTAATATTTAAATATGATGCTTGGGAACCATTTGGGTTGTAACAGAATTAATTGGGGAGCTTTCAACCAAAAACCTCTAGTGTTTTACTTCCCTACTTTAAAAAGTGGAAAAATAATCTTCGGTCATCCTTATTTACAGAAGGGCATAGGAATAGTCATTATGTAAATGAGATGATCTTGGAGTCATAAAAATTGAGAGAGAGAAAAGACCTATTAGCTCACCTAGTCTGTCTCTGTGCAATGCAAGGTTGTTTTCCAGTTTTTAATGAGCCAGCCTGTGGAGCTGAGGCCACTTCCCCTGGGAGGCTATTCCAGGCTAATGCTAATGCATTCTTATCGTAAGAAAATTTGTCTTCCTATTTTGTTTCTCTTCCTTAATGTGATTGTGTTATTCCTACATGATACCTCTTTTTAACCTCCTAAATTCCCTCCTGCTTTTTGTTGTACATGTGCTGCAGATGCTTGATTAGCTATTCAACTTTAAGATCTAACCATATTTCCTTTGTCACTATTTTGGTAACTCAGTCTCTTCAGCCCCCATCCTACTTATATATTTCTGAACCAAATTGGAAGCTGAAATGAAAAACATAATTTTTGTTTTCCCTGTAAAGGCAATAACGTTTTTATTTTTTCCAGTATCCCTGCAAATTTGTGATCATGATCTGATCTGATATTTTACATCTCTTGCTTATAGGTTCAACATTTAAGAGTGAAAAAATCTGTAATGCAGAAGGCCTAATACATTTTAGGGGAGGAATTAAGTGAAATAGTTTTTGTCCTGTGTTATTGTTGGTCTCCCTGATGTGGATTGCCACAGTGAGTTGTTGACATTACAAGTATGTCTTGAAGTAAATGGACTCCAGACAGTCCAAACAGTAAGAGTAACAATAGTAATTCAGGTCACAGAAAATGTTGTTCTTTTCCAGTGTTCATTTTAAAACATAGATACAATTATTTAAATGCTAATTCTGCTGAGGACATGCTAATAAATGCTTACCCAGAGACCAAAATGTGAAAAGAACAACAGTCAGGCTTGAACTAAACTCTTCCTTTTTTTGTGCCTGTCTTCCTAACTGAATGAGGGAGAGCTCCATAAATTACGTGTATCCCACAGGGTGATGTATTTTGATTTTAACCCTAATCCTTGAAGTGACAGGGCTGTACTGTGCTCTCTACCAGCTGGGTGGAGGAGTGGCAGGTGGGTTAACAGTCTTTCTTCCTGAAAAAGCCTCTGCAACTGTTATCCTTGCAAAACTTTCCAAAATCCAAAATGCCACTCAGCCATCTGCCACTCCCCCTGCAGATCCACTACTCTTCTTTATGAGGAGTTGTGTCCCTTCCTGCACACACTCCACGTATCTCCCACCCTTTGTTTTAATGTAGGTTGATGAATTTTCAGTTTTTTAAGTACAGATTGCTTTTCCTCTTTATTTTCATTCAGCTTCCAGTTCTGGTTCAGTTACTTTGAATACATAAGTATTCTGTGTCTCATATATAATTTCAGTCTGGGGAGTGTTTCTCGATCCCTTGTTTGATGAGTTTGTGGAAATAAAGAGGCTGAATACCCAAAACACAATTCCAGAAGCACCCTAAAAAAGATTATTTTGAGTAAGAAGCAAATGCTGATGAAAACTTGTAGAAGAAGGAAGAAATTATTGAAAGGAGATATGTAGGACAGGAAGGTAGGAATGCAGATGATAGTGTGTATAGATTAGTGGTTGCAGCATACAGTATTGATGGGGGATGGAACAGAAGTCTCGGTGGAACAGTCCTGGCCAGTGAAACTAATGAGTGTGTGTTCATAAATATTTCAAACATAAAACCATAGGTCATGTATATGTCTTGTTTAAAGTTAATAGTAGAACTGTTCAAAGCTATGTCTTTACATTTGAAACAAGGATGTTTGGAATAGACCATAAGATACAGCTAGAGTAAACAGTTCTCCATCTATGGAAAAGGATGAGGGTATCTGTTAAAATTAAAGATTTCATGTCATCTAACCTGGACAACTTACAATAAGAAACTACCTGAATCATTAATGTTGTTATTAAACAACTCATGGAAAATTGAGGAAATGCCCTAATACTGAAAGACTGCAGATGATTTCCTACACGTAAGGAAAGGCAAAAGGAGAAAAACCTAGGGAATAAACCAATTAGCCTCAAATCAGCCCCGAGTTCTGTTTTAATTACGTTGAGCTTGAGGTGACAGCCAGATATCCCCAGGTAATATCACTGAATGTTTAATGTAGTATTCTAATTGTATGTTAATATCTAATTATTTCTTTTCTGATGATATTAGTCAGGGCATTTTCAGATAAAGCTTTCTCAAACAAACCTATTGTCTTTTTAAACAAGAAAATACGTTTCATTGTTGGAGGCACCTTGTTATATTAAGACCATCTCAAGAGTAAGAACACCGAGTCTTATTGAGAAGGAGACCTGATCACCAGGTTTTTTCCAGGGAAAGAGGCAGTGGATGTTTTTTGGGGGAAAATAGATGGCAGGATGTTTGTGGCCTGTAGAAGACAAGATCGTCTTATTTATGCACTTGGTGTTTCAATTTTAAGTGTTGTCCAAGTTTCTACGCTGTTAGACAGATTGGGTCTGGGATTCAGTCTTAGAGATATGCCACTATGATCTCATAATTTGCCACCTATCAACTGCACAGTGGTGTCTGTGCAATTGGTTGCTTGTAGGCTCTCAAAATCTGATTTTATGGCACCTAACTAGGCTTTCACTCTGGTCTCTGAAAAGAGGTTGGTATCTCTCAGAGCAATTCCTTTCCACCTTAAGGTGGCATCAACTCACTTCCTGGAGGTCCGGATTGCTCTCCATTCACTACAGAAAGTACCAACACACTGTCTGAGGCCAGATTAATTCTGCCACTTTTTGTTTTTGAGTGTTTCCTCTGGTTTTTTTAAGTGTTTGTTTACAAACCACTGAGCATAACTGGAGTGTTTTGCTGGTGAGGAAAACAACAATTTTTCTTATCCTGATGGAAGCTCTGTTTTTGAAAGTGAGCTTGGCCCCAGACAAGGATATGTCTTATATTTCACTAATCGCCTATCCACAGTGGCTGATTAAATAGCAATGGCTTTAATGGGTTTTTGAAAGAAATCTCAAGCAGAGTTCTACAACCAAAGTTATAAATCTCTAGAAGGACAAATGGAGTGGTTTGTGGAAAACGAGAGAACAGATTTGGAGAAACTGCAGTGGAATTACAAAATGGAAAGCTGACTTGCATTTCAAATGGAACTTTACATATGCGTTTTTTAAGTGTGTAAGTCACAAGCTTCATTAAGTGCACACTCTCTTTCTCCCAATAATGTAACAAATGTTTCATTCACTCAACAATTTGGATGATTTAAAATCCATAGTAAATAAAGGGAAGCAATGAAACCCAAATTTTGAGAAGGGAAATAGAATAAGACATAATACTTCGTTAAGGACAAAAGGAACAAGCTGTTTCTGAAACCAGAGCCCACAGTTAGAGTGGGAGAGCTAAGAGAAGATGGCTTTCTTAGAAAAATCAACTTGTTCTTTCTGGTCTTTAACATTCATACTCTGGTGAAACATATTTCGTGTTTTTGTTTAACAAAATATGTATGTTCCTTGAGCGTGCTGACATTTAATGTTCTGCAAGAATCATAAACCTGAACTCTAACATCCTTCTACCATACAATGGCTTTCTTTGTGCAATTTATCTAGCTATGGTAATAATCAGTAATTTTGAACTGCATCTAGGTGAAACATTCCTGCTTGAATTGGTTTTCATGTCGACTGTCATTTGTAGATAATTTGCATTTAATACATAGCACTGCTAAAACTCATGTTAGTTACTTTAAAAAATTTACTACAGATACTAGAAAATTTGGAACAAGGCTTAGCTGAAGATGGAAGTATGACTAACATTACACAGGAGAACAGACAAGGTATGTATTCTTTAAACATTTTTTCACAGGCAGTATGGTTTTATCACTTGCCTAAGCATGCCGAAAGTTTTCACAAGACTGCCCCAGAGTTGTTAAAACAGTAGTTTTGTTACCTCGTGGCATATTCAGCATCTAAAATGATACACTTCTACTTTTATTTGCTGGAATTAATTTCACACTTTTACCCATGATCAAACTGATGCACTAAATCAGTTTCTTTTTTCCCATTTAGGAGAAACAGAGAAGATGGCTACCATTCTTTAGTATATACAAGCATATTACTGTCACAGTTAGATCAGTGTTTCATATTCATTGTTGCCTCATTGGCTCCTCTCAGTCCTCATATCTAAAATTTAGGGAATTTCTCTACTTTTCCTGCTGTCATGCATTGGCTATGCTTGCCTGGGATGTTGCTGTACAGGTGTCTAATCTCAGTGCAATTGTGTGGTAGTTAGTGAGTCAAGCCTGTCACTTATTAAAATGAATTTCAGATCTACATTATTTTGAGATCTACAGTTTCAGATCTACGTCTATATTATTTTCATCATTTTTTATGAAATTATGTGGATTTTTTTTTTCCTATTCCTTCTATCTTAGCTGTTTAACTTCAATACTGCATAAAGGTCATCTGGATAAATTGGTTGTCCAAGCATCTTTTTTTCTTTTTTTAATGGAATTTATACTAATGAGGTAATTTGTGTGTGCTTAAGAATTGAAGACAAGATGACATTTTAGGCATAGTTAATGGATTAGATAAACCACTCACGGTACTTAGCAATAGGGACATTAAAAATATCATACCGTTCAGCTTCTGCTAACAGTCTGAAGAGATCTTACCAACTTCTTTCTGTGATAACATGACACACGGAAATAACTTGAAGAATGTGAGAAGTTAAGGTTTGCCTCTGAGGTGGGAAGTGGCCAGATATAGCTGTTAGCAGAGTAATAATTTATTATGAACAAATCCCTAAAACTGTGTCTGCATGGAGTGGTGCAGTCCTTTCTTCAAGTTCTGGCCTTTAAGTTTGGCTGGATATAAAGCTCTTTCAGTGTGTTATTGTACTCCACTAAAACACCATCTAGTTATGCCCTGAGAAAGTTGCTGCATGTGTGAGCAGTGTATGTCACAAAGGCTTTTACTCTTCTCAGAAAGAGTTAGGAAAAAGCAGAGAGAGAATCTGATATTTAATGTTAATGCGCAGTATCAGTCTGTTTTTCTTTCCCTGTATCTGCTAATCTTCTTGCTTATGTGTGCTTACCTCATTTTCCTATTACCTTTCTACTCCAATTTTCTCTCTTATATCCTCATATTTTTTTCTTTTTTTTTTTTCTCTGTGATTTTAAAATCAAGAGTCAGATCCCCTTTTAGGGCACAGGGAATTTTTTCTTAGCTGTGTCATAATCCTGTGTCCTGCAGGCAAGTGAGTTTCTGGCTCCTCAGTGCTGCTGCTTCAGAGCTGTGAAGAGCTCAGAAGAAGGGATGAGGTGAAAGGCAGGAGCTGCTGGTTGCCAGGGACAAGGCTGCTGAAGCTGTCCTGTTTGTTGGGACTGCTGACTGCTGTTGTCAATGAAAGCCATGTCTGCTCCCTGTCTGCTCCTTTACTGCATTTGAAGCTACAGGAGGCTGATAACGTGTTTTTTTTTTGTTACTTTTTTTTCAATGCAAGGCCAAGCTGAAGCAAAACTTAGGAAATTTGTTTGAACGCAGCCATACTTTTTTATGGGGATTATGCTTAGTGACTGGTTTCCTTACTGCCAGTGTAAGAAGGTGCCACACCAGTCAGTTCATCATATACATCTCCTCTGGTCTGAAACAAAGCACCTCATCTGGCAGTTTTACAACAGGAGGAGAGATAGAGCATTGCATTGCCTGCCTGATAATGCGTTCTATAAGATGCCAGTTTTACAAGTTAGCACACAGAAATCGTGTTGAAATGAATGGCAGTATGAAGTTCAGAGTCCTCCATAAATAACAAAAATAAATGTTTGGATTGTAAGTGTGCCTGAAAGGACCTGCAGAGTGGTTTTCAGGCATTTTTCAGGCATTGCACAATGAACTGGTGTTGGGTTTTCAATTTTGTTTACTGCTTCACAGGTTTTCCTTAGCCCCCTTCTGCCAGTCCTAAAGGAGTTTTTAGAATGGGAAGCAAAGAAGAGTGGACATGCCACCAGATTCTCTTCTTATTTGTAATGGCACTTACGTGTGTTAAAAAAATGTATCTGTGCAAGCTGCCTAGGCTGCAGTATGGATGCAGACGAGTGGTCTCCGTTATCCCAATCTCATAGAAAATGCCCTTTCGCCCTTTCCCTCCTCAAATCATTATAGTGACCTTGACAGCTGATTGACTGAGACCCATTTATTTTCCAAATGCACTGAATGAAGGCTCCTGATGTTTATTTTGAGGGTTAGAGGAATATTTCTAGCATTGATCTAGTGAAATAGATCAAGAATAATAGGGATTTTTATGGACTGTTCTCTTAAAACATCAGGAGTCTGTCTGCAGAGCAAGAGAGAAAAACCTGCTGCTGCAGTTTTTAATGCCTGCAAGCTCCAGGAGCATAGGGAAAGCAGACAGGCTTGGCAGATTTCTTCCTGCATAGCTCTAAGCCAGAGGCAAGCACAAACAGTCCCAGATCCAGACAGTTCTCACCCTGCACGCTTTGGCTCTGAAATGCCATTAGCTTTGTTTGATTTTTGAGTTTATCACATTTAGTCCTGTAGATGATGTGTTTTTAAATTGATGCTCATTATCGATTTAATCTTTTTATGCACCTTTTGTTCTTGAATTGGAAAATACGTGGCTTCTTGCAGTGCTTAATGCTTGGCTTGAGCTCAAGGCTGAGTGGCTGTCTGTTGCTCTGCATTGTGCCATCGTGTACGGTCCCCAGAACCGTGTGAGTAATTCCCTCAGAGAGATGCAGCATTTCTGTCTGATGATGCAGCATAGCTGAGAATTGTAAATTCTAGGCTAAAACCCAGTGATGTTAACAAGGGGAATCTTTCAGAATCGTAATTCATGGGACCGATAATTGATTGCAGAAAAGAACCTCTAATTTATTTGTGCAAATTCACAAGCTGCTCTTATTTTGCAGCCTCTGTTCAGCTGTGGAGGTCACGTCTGGGCCGGGTGATGTACTCCATGGCAAACTGTCTGCTAATGATGAAGGTACGTGGGTGGCAGCAGCTGCAGAGGTACCGTATATTCCAGAATAGAATGTTGGAGAAAGTGCCGGAGAATTACTGGTGTGTAGATAAGGGAAGACTACCTGACTGTACTTGGAGGCTTTGCATAGTGAAGAATTAATTAGACTTAATAATGCCTTATTTAATAGATAGCTATTTGCAGTAATGCTCTTTGGGAACATATCTACTTATTTCTCCCAAAATCATCCTGGAGAGTGTGCAATAACAGTAGAAAATTTGCATTTTTAAATTGAATTTTTCAAACACTTAACTAAATGCTGTAATTAAAAGCAATTATGTGCTCTTTTTCAAAGTGTGCACTAATAACGTTGCTCTGTTTGTGTGCATTATTAATACTATAGACATTGTATATGATGAGATCCAGAACATCTAAATACATCTTTCCTATCTCAGCTGTAAGATACCTTCTTTCAAGTTTAAATCCTTACTAATAGGTGGAAGGAAAAAGAAGGGAATAAAAGGAAAAGTAGCTGGCTAGCACTGTTTTGTTTTGTTTCTCTCTTGACTCCCCCTTACTCTTTAAGACCCTTCTGGTGCATTTGGTGGAGCACAAGCTTCTCCTTGTGTTCAGCAAGCAGAAGAAATAGAACCATTTCTGCCATTCACCTCATGCTCAGGGAAATAGGTTTATCACCATCCTAGGCTTGCAACAAACTGCTGTTATGCAGAGCTTAACTGTGCTTCACAAATTAATTAACAGCACAGACTCAGAGCAGTACTGTCAGCACTATAATCTTCACAGACCACAATTTGCACTCCCTGCCCCCTGTTGTTTGATTGCCCAAGGTCATGCCAAATCTGACGTTCACTAAGCTGCTTTCCAAACTAGGCTTCCTTGATGCTCCATTCATAATATGAATGTAGCAACTCAGAAAGCACACGTTTTTCAGGTTAGATACAATTACCAAATACTCCCTTACATGAATTGTAATATGCTTTTTGTGTGAATTAGAGAAAAAAAGGAAATTTCTATTTGTAGTTACATTGTAATCAAATGATTTCTGTCTTGAACAGATGCAATTGTCCATTAAACCTTTAAGTATTTTAACGAATCGATAAGCATTTGTTTTGAAGTAGGCACTTGACATAGGTTCAGTTCTTAAGGAACGTCCTTTTTCATTAGGCAAGTGGAAAAAAGCACAAGTTGCCATCTCAAACAAAGCAGAGTGCAGAAATAAGAAAATATTGGTAACAAGTTGTTTCAATTTCACTTTACTCTTGGCTGTGATTTCTTTCTAACGTTTTCACTGCTTGTCTTTCTGTGTACACACCAATGCAAGTGCATGCACTGTCCTCATCTTCCTTCCAATTTGATCCTTTTAGTGCTGTTTTCTGCTAGCAATATAAATACATTTGTGAATACCAGTTAGCACCTTTTTGTAAATGGTACTTCAGAAATACTGCAGCTCAGATTCTTCCTGAGGTCGGTTTTATTTAGGGTCTCACAGATGTCAATTTAGAAAATGACATTTCAGCTGTAACCTCCAGATTACCTACGACTGCATGTTTAGGTGTAATTACTCCCCTCTGAAATTTGCATCTCAGTGTTGGCTGTGGAGCAGTTGTGAGTATCACAGTTTTTAGGCATATCACTGTAAGGGCAGGTAGAGAGTCTTAAAGATTTTTGTACACAGCCATGTTGCATTTAAAATCACAGCAGGGCATCAACTTAATTTATTCTGCCTGTGTGACAGATCTTCAGTGAAATAATTGTATTGCCTAATTATGAACTTACTAATTTTAAGACCATTCTAACAACCAGCAATACTGCAATCATCTTCTCCACCTTCCGGAGTGTTCAGTGTTCAGTTTAAAACAATTTCTTCAAATAATCTTTTAACACAATTCTTTTAATTCTCCCATGAACAATTATATTAATTGAACGGCATTCCACCTCTACCATTTATTTTTGCTGTTGTGTAAGACACTTTAAAAACTGAGCATTTTATTCAAGTATATGTTATAATGTGAAAAAAATGGTATTCATTCTCCAAGTCAGTGCCATCTATTGCCATCTAGTGAATGTTTATGAAACTGCAGCGTGGTCATATTTGATCTGCAAGTACTATTGAGTAGCTTGTGCTATTAGATTAGTAAGAATCATTATTTAAAGATAAAACAATTAGAACAGTTGTATTTAAAGAATCTGATTATTTTTATTGATCTTTTTTCTTTGTCCAGCAAACTTCAGTAGTATTAAGTATATTAAGTAGGGAACAGTCTTGTCAGAACTGACTCTTCAAAATTAAACAGAGCAAACAAATCAGACCAGATGTTGGACCTATGGCTCTTTAAATCTGTTCCTCTTCTCCTCAAAGCCAATTAGGTTTATTTCATGTCTTCTGTCTTTTGTGTTACTTATCTGAGTCAAGGAATTCTGGTTATATAGCACAGTATTTTTTATCTATTAAAATATGTTATTTGGCCTCTTTAGTTTCATAGCTAAACATCTCATTTAATTGTTGAGGTGGTACATTGTTTTGAAAGCTATGTATGAGGTGCAAATCCAATTTAACCAGGCTTGCCCACAAACCAACGAATCACAAGTCTCCTTTCTAATCACAAGCCTCCTTTGCCCTGGGGCCATATCTTCTAGGCACTGAATTCTACCTGCTTAGCCCTCTACCTGTGTAGATTCAGTAGCAGTTTAAGGCAGTCTCACTGCATGTAAGACTATACGTAGATTTTCTGTTCACCCCCTTTCCTTTGAACAACATTTCTTAGACATATTCTAGCATCCTTCTGTACACAACTTAGTGTGGTGACTTAAGTAAGTGACAAGTTAAAGAAATGGTGGTTGTCAGTCATGGCAACTAAATCAGCTTATACATGCTCATGTACAGGGGGAAAATTAAGAGGTGGAAATACAGCAGGAAGGCAAGGAGAGACAAGTTAAAGTGCATCACTGTAGACTTTCATTTACAAGAACTGTGGGCTTAAGTCGCTATGGAACTGTTCCCTGAATATAGCAACGTGAGAGAACATTCATTTAAAATGCAGCTGATGATGTGCATTGCTTCATTTCAACAATGTAATTGCAAAATGTCTGTCATTTTAGTAAATCACCATGGAAGTGTTTTAAGAACTTTTTAAAGTTCTTTTCATCTGAGCTAAAATTGCTTTTGACATTATCTTATCAGACTTCTACCTCTCAGAGGAATAAATACTTAAGTACTTTCCATATATATTATAAATGCACTCTAATTAAAGGCATGTTTTGCATTTTGTCAGGATTTTTTGTCAGTGTTGTCTTTGCTTTTGTAAAAAGCCTTGGAATCATTTTTAATTTGGGTCTAAATACAATTAAAACTGTACAAAGGAGGCGATAGCACCTTGTACCGATGATGCAAAGGACTGATGCATGAGGACTTTGTTTTCTTTATGATATAAAGTAAGAAGACTGCAAGAATCGTGTATTTTGCCTGACTGCTGCAGTATGACTCTCTGGGTTCACAACGCTATGAATCTCTGCTTTCATAACTCTTCCCCAAGTGCACCAGATAGAGAGGAAAGATAAGTTATCCCTGCCCTCTTTTCCCAAAATACACTTTACAAACTGCAGAGTTTGTATAACTAAAGCTGATTTTAGTCTATGGTTTCTGAACCTAATACCAGCATTCTGCATATCATGATCATTTATACTTGTTTTTAAATATCTTATAATCAATAATTTAAGTGCTTGAAGTGAGGTTGGAAAAACACAAAAATGTAAAATGTGGTGACCATTAAAGGAAATAGTTACACTACAGTGCATCAGAGGAAAACCAGCCCCGCGTGCCGTTCTTGTGAAGTGGGTCCAGTGCCTTGACGGAACTTTCTTTGGATGAGTTTATTGAATTATAGAGCAACAGGCCCACTCTCATTCATATCCTGAACTGTGTAACTTTTCTTCTTTTGAGATTTCCTATGAAAGGTGTGGAAAATCTGAAAGGTCGCTGTTTGTAGAGGGTAAAGGACAGGACAGTGATAATCTATCAACTCCACCGTTACGTTTTAAGATCACAAACTGCATTGCTGGGTTTTTTAGTGCTGGTACTGAATACTACTACTGAATACTGAAACATGTATTAAGCAAGGCTCCTCTTTCCTTGGAGGGCCTCTCATTTATCATTCTCACAGATAGCTGTTTTTTTACCATGTCTTATTAGCAAAGCTGGGAATTAAGATCTGGCTTCTAGTTCATAGCACAACATCTCATCTGCTTTACAAATGCTCCTTCAGAAGGGATTGTCAGATAGGGTGTTTTTACAACACACCACAAATAGGATAGTTCTGGCAGTATATGGGGTACTCTCTAAATCCTACTGCTGCCTCCACAGTAGTGGGTGTATGGGGAAGTACAAGCATATGAAACTTACTATAGGTGATAAGTTTTGCATGCGTGTACTGAAGCAGCTACAAAATGAGATTGTAGTTGGAAGTGAGTCTGGATACTGTGACTGTGCGTTGTTGCTGTTTCGTGCTGGGGCCAGCCTTGCCTGTGCTCAGCAGTGGCTTTAAGCACACATGGCTTAACCTCTTGTCATCTCCTGGAAGAAATAGGCCCTGTTCTTTGACAGGTGCTGCAGGGCAGGGGGGTAAATAAGCACAGGTGCTACGTGCTGTGCCATCATATAGAAACAGGATGTGATGTGTTTCCTGATCCATAAATACAGGGCGTAGACTCTTAATACCTCACCTCTACTCTCAGTTTTTAGGAGGTGTGAATCTTATCTAGTTAACATACATACAGAATGCAAATAAGACAATATTTAATAGGGAGCGAAAAAGGGGAAGGCAATTTGTTTGCCTGACTAGGCCAAAGCTATCCAGCCCCTGAGGCAGGGGCCTCTAGAATGTTGTTTGCCTGCTTGTTTCTGCCTGGGCTGGTGCCCACCTACACTGCGGGCTCTGGCTTTGAGCTGGTCAGACAGGGCCCCCTCAGGCAGCTGCTGCAGCCAAGGCTTCCTTCAGGCTTCATTAAGCACCTTTTTTTTCTCAAAGAGGTAAAATTCAGAGTCTTGGATAATCTTTCAGTTTGTATAAATCCCACTCTTGCGGGGATTAATAGCTAACGCAAGTATGGCTGGGGTTGCTCTAAAGAATCAGTTTCAAGAATGTTATGCAGAACCCAACACAGGGGCACTCTACAATCAAGAAAGTCCTGTAGTGAGAGCTGATGTGGAGAAAAAATGAGCTTTTCTTAAGTTATAAACTTATGAGAAATATGGTAGTATAAATTCCATCATGCTTGAGTGCTTGAGTTGTGAACGCTGAATGAATCAGAATTTAAACATATATTTTACATACATGGCCTGTTTTCTTTGCTCTGAACTCTTGCTATTGCCAGTGTGGAGGTTGTGAATGCCCCCTCCCAAGAAGCATCCAAGGCCAGGCTGGATGGAGCTGTGAGCAGCCTGGTCTGGTGGGAGGTATTCCTGCCTATGGCAGGGGGAGTTGGAACTAGGTGATCTTGAAGGTCCCTTCCAACCCAAACCATTCTGTGATTCAATGAATAAGCATGGTTTTGCACACTAGAATTGGAATAAACTCTAATTGTTAATTGTTGTATGTTCAAGTCTAATAGTTTAATACATGCAGTGTACAAGTTGTCTGCAAGATAAAGGTCCTACAAAGTGCCTCCAGTGTTAAGTCCATCTCTGCTATTGCAGGCTGAGCAATTTGTCTCATATGCAGATGAGACTCCAAAGACTTCTCTTGTTGTTTTGGTTTTTTTTGTGTGTGAAAGAAGTCAGTGTGTTCCAAATGATGACCCAGTGTATGGGTCAAATAGGGCTCGGTCATTTAAAGTACGATCTTAGGAAAAGAAACACATTGTACCTGGGGCACATGTCCTCCTTAGACTGAGGAGGAGGTGAAGAATAAGTACCTCAAGCAGTATCTGTGATCACATTAGGGAGAAGTTTAATGAGCACTATAATTTGACCAAAAAACTGTATGGTACAGAGTATGCCAAGATGTCTGTGCAGTTTTGAAATATTATTCTTTTATATCTTTGCTTCTGAATGCCCACCAGAAAATTTTTATATGAAGTTGAAGGCAGAACTGTTAGGAAGCACCAGGTTAGTACAGCACTGTCTTCTGTCTTTGCTCTTGCCTGGTTTTTATAAGCAAATACAGGCTCTGTGCCTCTGGTCTGAATTGATGACGGAAGCTAGAGCTGAGGTTGGTGGAACCCTTACCCTGGGAATGTGGCTGCTGCATGTCTTCCCTTAGAGCACATGCGGAATTTCTCGTGTGTATCTGCCAGAGGCCATGTAGACAGGCTCTACTTTACTGCCCAAGTAGATAGTTCATGGAATTTTACTGTGAATAAGCTGGAGCACAATAACTGATCACATGTGCATTTCTTTCATGTGAGCAATGGAAACACAAATGTATCCAACTCCCGCCACTGGTGACGGTGCAGAGGGTGCAGGAGCAGTGACCTGCAGCAGGTCTCAGAGCCACTGAGTGCCAACCTGCCCACATTCTCCGTGTGTGTCTGTGTGAGATAAAAACCAGCCCACCTCTCATTCTGTCTTAAACCAAAACAATTTCTGTTTGGCTTAAGTGCTCGTTTTGTTTTTACATGGTAGGAGAAGAGGAAACAAGGGCTTGGGTGGAAAGATGGGAAATGTCTGCTTGCTTGAGGTCACCTGAAAACATGGAGGAAATTGCAGCTTCTGTCACATTATGTAGTGTTTTTCACGAGGCAAAAGCATGTGCACAGTTCCCAAAGCTTCTCAGAAGAGTTTATTAAACTATATTAATTAAACTTATATCTGAACCCTGAGATACTTAAATATATTTCACAATACTTTCCACACAAAGCTTTTGACTTTCATCCTTAATAAGATAGAGAGTAAATGTTCATCCTGGCATTTAACTACAGAATATGATTCAGTTTCAAAAAAAAAAAAAGAGAGAGAGAGAATCCAGTTAGCCTGCAGTGATAGGCAGGAATTTTGTCCCATTCACAAGTTGCTATTATTTTGCTCCTTTTTACCAGTATCTTTGAAAAGAAGGCTACATAAAGGCTAAAGAATGCTGAGCTTAAATATTTGGTTGTGTGCTTTTCACCCCTTAGGATTACGTGCTTGCTGTCGATGCTTATCACACTGTCATCAAATATTACCCACAGCAAGAGCCTCAGATGTTGAGTGGAATTGGAAGGATTTTCCTTCAGGTATGCACTTTGTTCTAAATCTGCTAGGTAATACTGCTGTTGACAGCTGTGTAATGAATAATTGTTGCATTTAAAACTATAGCTAAAACTATCATATGGTAGAGGCAGCGGACAAAAACAGAAAAGATCACTATGTGGCATTAGGTAATGCGAGGAAATACAAAGCACCTGTAGTTTTAAAATTGCACGTATGTACATTGGCGAACAAAAAAGATGGTGTACAAAATTATGCTAATGATTTAATCAAAATCAACATTCCACACTTAAAACTGATGTTAAGAGGCCTTGATCTGATATACTGCCAGCCATGAGCAGACGCCTTCATATAAGTGGGAAAGGGAGTTAAGAGAAGCAGAGAATTCAGGAGAAGACAGAGGCTACCACACTGAAATTGTAAGAAGCACCATAATTCTGTCAAGAGTTACCTGACCTGTTAAGCAGAAATTGACATGTAATGAAGAAACAGTGACTGCATTTTAGTCTCTAGTATTTATTGTATGTTTTTAATAGACTGCTTGCTGGCTCACCTATCCAAAATTGCCATTTAAGTAACAGCATTAAAGAATTTCAAAAGTGGAAAGCTGTCTGACCTTACCCTCTACAATGTTGTCACAAATACAGAGTTAAAAGCAGCAAATAAATCCTAGGAGTACTTCAGAAAAATAATCTGGGTTTCCAGACAAACTGTAGACTTAAGCACACGGTGGTTGCAGGCTCCTGTTAAAAGAGTTGTGCTGTTCTCCCTGACCACTGTGAACAGAACAAAAGGTGGCATAAGAGTGCAGCAGGGCGGAGTGTGATTACTAATACTAAGACTATTTTAGAGTTCTGGAATGCCAACTTGCAAATCCTTCTTTCCTTCAGCTTGCATTAACCACTAGCCAGTGTTTTTCAGTCTGCAGATGGACTGCCTCTCCTCAGTGACCCATTGCACTGGGTCTGTTTTCTGACATTTTTGGTCTGATGCACTCAAGTGGTCATGACCCAAAAGTGGTGTGTTGACTGAGCACAGATTCTGTGCCAGCTACCAAGCTATTGCATTCCAATTTTCATGCTTATTTCAGTGTATTGCAGCTTCTGGTTGTGAGCAGTGAGCATCTGCTGTCACTTCCTGTGGCCTAACATCAAGTCTTACTGGAAGTAATTCTGACCTCAGCTCAATTTCAGCTAATTTTACAAAAATGAGGAGGTGGGGCACCACTGCTCTATAGTACAGGAATGCTCCTCAAACATTGCTGAAAATCACTGCCTTGGTAAAACTGTATTTGATTTGGATGTTCTTTCTCATAATCTTAATGTGGTTCTTCAAACATCTGGTTTGATAAAAACGTTAAACAGTCAGTGTGGTACCAAACAATTAGATAATGGCCTTTGACAGGATTTCATGTTCTTATCCTTTGTAAGAGAAGTCATCAGTTTGGATATCTTCTAATGTGTTCTCTTTATTCTTTAGATTGGAGACATAAAAACTGCAGAAAAGTATTTTCAGGATGTTGAGAAAGTGACTCACAAATTGGATGGACTACAGAGCCAAATTATGGTTTTAATGAACAGGTAGATAACTTAATGGCTAAATGAAAGCTTGAAAATACAGTTTTGTGAAGTATACATTATGAGTATTAAGCTACCTTTGAGACAATTCTGCTCTCTTTCTCTCTTTTATGTAACTACATCTGTCTTAAATCAGAATTAATGGAATATAGACCCACAAGGCCTGTATTGCATGGTACAGTAACAACACTTAGGAAAGGAGAAGCGATTTGGAGCCCTTATTCTAAAATCAGATCTGCTAGTAAAGCTACTGTTTGTTAGTTTCAAGGAGTGATGGAAGACAAAGCAGTAATTGAGCTGCACAATGGGCGGCTCCATTTGGAACGTTTAACATGTTGGCCTAATATATTTAGAAAATACAATTCAAAAGTGCTCTGAAAATGATATCGCGTAGCTAATTTCATAAAGAGAAATAATTCCAGGAAGAGAGTATCTTCATTTGAATTAATGAAAACACAGTGAAGACTCTTGCTTTGGTAGGCAGAATATATAATAAGCAAATGATCCGAGTTGTCATTCCATTTGTCTGTAAATCAGTGTCTCCTTGCAGGTTTAAGATTACACCGTGAAGAACAAATGTCAGAAACTCTCACATCTATAATAGGAAAAATAAAAAATGATGTCCATTCTTTTTAAAATATATTATCACCTTGGGTTTTTCAGGAGAACTCATTCATGTGTCACTTACTTTCTAGAGCATTTCTCCACCTCGGTCAAAATAATTTTGCAGAAGCTCATCGATTTTTCACAGAAATTTTAAGGATCGACTCATCAAATGCTGTGGTAAATCTCTAAATTGCTACATTTATTATGAACACCTTTATTATTGGTGTAATACCTTCATACATGTATTTAATAAGTACCCAGAGTACTTATTAAGAATGCTCAGAGCTTGATAGAAAAATTAAGTGTACCCTTTGTGCCAGAGTTTTTAGCATACGAAAGGATAAGGTGCAGACAAGAATGGGAAATAAAGAACTGGTTTATACTTAGTCATGCATATAGGCATTCCAAAACATTATGTTTTATGGGATCTTTGCAAAAATGCTTTTTTTTCACTCGTTTTTAGCATAGATGTGTACGTTAGGAAAACAAATGGCAGCTGCCAGTGTATGTAAGATTAACTTGATTATACATAGCATTGAAGGGATATTGTCATTTTAAACCTGACATTTTTAACATTTTGCACATCACAGCCTTGGGTTCCATCACAAAAGGAGATTAAAGAAGAGCAGGTTATTTACATTTTTTATTTATATGTGGCAACTTCTTGTGAGTGGTTCGTAAGAACTCACACAGCTTAAACCTACAGCCTCATCCAAGGCCACATAAGGACCGAGAGGACTGAGTTTAAGCAACTCATGAATTACTTCATTTTGCAGGTGTAAAACAGTATATATGATAAACTGTGAGAAATCTACTACTGAGGGTTCCTGAGGAGAGTGAAAAAGAACATTTGAAAGGGTGTATTATTCCGTTATCTACAGCTATGAAATATGAAAGTTTCTGCTACTAAACAAATTATATGACTGTGTGGTGGAATCTTTTGGTAACTCATAAAACCTGATGTTAGGAAAAGAAAATATGGAACCTGATATTATCATTTAAAATATATTAGACTGCCCTGTTTGCTGAACTTAACAGAAGTCGGTTGTAGGTATCTTTGTGATAGGATCATTTTTTCCTGTTGCTTGTGTGGAACTTCCATACATAAGCCAGAGAGAAAATGTATTGAAAGATATAGTGAAAATGTTAAAAAAGCTATGAAAATGGCAATATGCAGAGGCCTGTGTAGTTTCTGAAATCTGATACAACTGATTCAACAAATTAACTATCTAATGTCCTGTATTACAAAGGCTGCTCCGAAAGAAATATCTCCTATTTAATATGTAGGCACACAAAGTCACAGTCTGATGTGGAAGTGTGAGTGAAGAAAAGGTGTGGCTTTGAATTCCTCCATGTAGAAAAAATTACATCCATCGACATTCATCAGCACTTGCTGAAAGTTTACGGAGACCAAACAGTGGATGTGAGCACAGAGAAGCAGAGGGTGCTGCATTTCAGCAGTGGGTCACCTCTGCTGGTGCAGATGCTTATGAGTGCATCATGCAGGTTCTTGTTCATCTCTGGTGAAAAGGCACAGCTAATGGTGGTGACTGTTGAAAAAGAGTTTTGTAGCCAAGAATTCACTCTGTAGAAGAGCATTATTGTGCTTTTTTTTTTTTTTAATCTGTTGTAGTTTCCATGGAAAAAAAAAAAGGAGGCATTACTTTCAGAGTAACCTACGTAGTTACATTTTAGACTGTTATATTTTAGAGTGAGCTCACAGAAGTCAGGATGTCCTACTGGCATAGGATAAACCTTGTGAAAAGACGAAAAAGATGAGTGACAATCTATTCACATTACTTGAGCATGCACAGAAAATAGTTCTTAGCAGATGGTAAATTTGTTGTTACTCCAGACTTCTTTTTTCCCTTCTCATTCGTCATTTAGGAATACATACATACATATATATGTATATGTATATATACAGGTACTTATTTACAATTTGGTTTTCTTTAGGCTAATAACAACGCTGCTGTTTGTCTTCTTTATCTGGGAAAACTGAAGGATTCCCTTCGCCAGTTGGAAGGAATGGTTCAGCAGGACCCTAAACACTACCTACACGAGAGTGTTCTCTTCAACTTAACAACCATGTACGAGTTGGAGTCATCTCGCAGTATGCAGAAGAAGCAGGCTCTATTAGAGGCCGTGGCTGTTAAAGAGGGTGACAGCTTTAATACTCAGTGTCTCAAGTTAGGTTAGATCATTTCCAACTAAGTATTTCCCTGCAGGACTGATTTTAAAAGTTGTATATACTCTTGCTACTGTGTAAATGTGAAATAAAATCTATTCAGTTATAAATAAGCAATGGCATTATTGTGCTGTCTCTTAATAAAATCATGTAATTGTGAAGACTTTGTGCTGACCTACAGCCAGCTTCATTCCTGCTTAGTTATTCCTTGTTACAGTGCATATATACATACACTCAATTACTCAGACTCTTATTTTTATATGAAAAAAAAAGCATTTGACCTTATTTGTTTCGATGACTGTTTTCCAGTAATTAATGAGTAAATGACCTGAGCTAATTTCATCAGCTAAAAGTTACTGACAATGTATATTATGGAAAAGGCAATTTTGAAAGCACATTTATTCAGTTGCTTTAATAGCATGTGTCATTTCCCTCAATCCAAATATTGACTACTGTACCTCTGTGTACCTATTGCTCTCCAGTGAGGTTGTTAGATAACCATTGTACACAATCACAAAGTGGTTGTTGTTGGAAGGGACCTCTGGAGATGCCTGTCTGTCAACAGATTGTTCATTGTAAGTAATTTTAGTGTTCTGTCATCTCCTGCATAGGTCACTTTTTCATCTGGGGGGATTTCTTAGAGACAGGAAGAAATCCCAGTATGTAACAGCCTTCGTTGTATCCAGAGACTCAAAGCACTGAACGAGTCCAGTTAAACAGTTTTATAATGGCATTTCATTTAACAACATAGAGATCCCTATGCATTCTGCTTAAGGTCAGGTGTCTTACTACTTTGTTATGTGATCTTCTCACCTCTGCAACTCCTATGACACTTGGGTAAACTTGATTATCCTTTTCCAGTTGTAAGTGAAAGTAGCCTCAGTCACTGTCACCCAGGAGGCAGAAGTCACTTTGCTTCTTTACAATCAAGGGATAAAAACACTTCCTTTGAAGCTGCATTCAGTAGTGCCTTAAGCTCAGTGTGTGTGCAAATAACAGTCTGTGTTCAGATCTTGGAGAATAAAAATTTATGATCCCAGTCAGAGTCAAATTAAAAAAAAAAAAAAAAACACCCTGAAAACATAATCCCCTGTTCTCCAAGTTTCTTTAAATTCTAATACATATGTATTACTACATAGGGCTTATTTTGGTATGTTTGCTGTGTTCTTATTAGTAGAGGCTTTTACACAGATAAAAGCATGGTAGAGGAGACTTGGACTGAGTGACCTCCAAGCTCAGCAGGCCATTAAACAAGTGACATCTTGGTAGACTTGCAGAATAATTAAAATTTAAATGCAAAAGCATACTACCATCACTGGGTGTATGCAAATTGTTAACTGTTTGTAAAATGCAAGAAATTGTGTTGATGTGGCTGTATGGTTTGGGTGTAACATATATAGAAGTGCTTGAATTTCCTATATTCAGGCAGTTGTGTATGTAAATGCTGTATATGTATCTTAAAGACAAAATTTGTCCTCAAAACATTAATTACACCAGGCAATCCTGTTAAATTCAGTGAATTCCACTGAACTTAATGAGGGTTCCTGGTGTAAATGAGGGCAGAGCTCAGTTCTAACACACAGTGTGCAGGTGTCATCTGTCTAAGTGAGAAGAGCTGGGGAAAGCATAGCCTGAATGAGCTGATTGTTGTATGTGAGCCTTAAAGCTTAATGTGCCTTACCAGAAGTTCTGCACTTAAATTTCCTCTTTTATTAAAAGAGCAAATAAGCTGTACTTCAGACATTCAGATAATTACATTATGCACAGAGACCTTGATCCTCCAAAGCACATAAGCAGCTCTCTGCAATTTCTAGTACCCAGCTGCAGTTCAGGTGATAGCAGCATCCTCCAACCAGCTGCTCACTGAGATGTTTCTCATGCTTCAGCTTTCAGACTGGACACACGATATGTTCCCAAAAGGAACATGCAGACATGCCTGTGCCCTCAGCCTGCAGTGGTCTGCATTGGAGAAATGCTGAACTCAAAATGTGTGCATAGAAGATTATTTTAAGGGTGTGGAGCTACTTTTGCTCTTGGGCTTGCAGATGACCTCTGTCAATTTCTCTTCCAGTTGGAGCTATGTCTCAGAGTCTTGTGCTGAGACTTGTGGAATGTATTTTACTAGGAATATATGCAATATATATGTGTACTTGTGTATGTATATAAATATACGTTTAAATTTATACATAAAAATGCTGTCATCTAATGCTTTGGAACAGGCTGCCCGGAGAGGTTGTAGATGCCCCATCACCCTAGAGGTGTTCAAGGCCAGGTTGGATGGGACCCTGGGCAGCCTGGTCTAATATTAAATGGGGAGGTTGATGACCCTGCATGTGGCAGGGGGGTTGGAGATTCATGATCCTTGAAGTCCCTTCCAACCCTGGCCATTCTGTGATTCTATGATTCTGTGACTGCTGAATACTGCGCAGGGTGACTGCTCCTCTTCCTGCCCCATCCTTCATGTCAGTATGAATACTCATGCAGCTGCACACAAGCTGAGCTCGTGACTGCAGAAACACTGACCTGGCAGCCAAAGCCTTCCTCAGTCTGATGTGCATCCGGAGGGTTACAGAAAAGGATGTAACAGGACTGACCACCCACCCGGGGGACTGGCAGGTTTTCTGCAGGATA